TGCTGTTAATTTTTTGAAAAAAAAAAAAAAAAAAAAAACTCTAATGTGCCAAGCTATCAGAACCAAACCAAACTTAAAACTGTGGTTAAAAACCGAGGTACGTATTGAACCGTGGACTAACTGTATTGTTTCATCCCTAGTGTATAATGTTTATTTGGAGAAATAAAACATTACACACTGCATGCAGTTCACATACTTATACTTTTGCTGGTAAAGGTAATTCTTCATTGAGTAAAGTCTCTTTATATATATATATATATATATATATATATAAAGAAGAGTACTTTGGTTTACTATGGTATTAGTTCATATTAAATAATGACCTACAAATCAAGACTCCATGTCAAATAAATATCACTTTTCTCTATATTGTTGCCACTTTTTGACTTGAAATTGACTTGAATTGAATTTTGCTGCCTGATCCTCATAACACATTGTGTATTTAGCATGAAAATCAAGTAAACATGTTCAAATTAACTAGACTTTTTTACAGTTAGTTAATTATTACCAAGTTGTACAACTCAAACACACTTAACAACCGTTTGTACTTTCCTTATGTTAAAGGTGCACTAAGCAATATTTGAAAAACGCTTTTGACCACAGTGTCGGACCGAGTCCCAAAACACACTTGTAGACAATCAGCAGTAAGGGGGCGTGTCTTGTAATTATAGAGAGAGAAGAGAGCACTCAATTTGAGTGCACAGGATGGATATTAGCAGATCGACTATGGATAGAGAGAGATGGCAGATAAAAAAAGGAAACTATCAGAGAAACAAAACATTAAAAAGAAGGGTTATGATCAGGCAAGAGGTAGGACCCGCGTAAATATCGGAGCAGCTTTCCAGCGGTGGAGAGAACTCAAGGTGGGGAAGGCCTGGAAGCGGACGCCAAGGTTGCGTTGTTTCTTCTTGATAGGCGAGTAATGTTGATTTTGCTTCGTTTTACACAACTTATCTGTGTTGGCTATGTGTTGCTGTGTTGTTGAATATGCTTGTGTGTTATCTTCACTTGTTTCCACGATCGTCGTTGCCATGGTTGTGTACGTACTTGTGGGACGGAGATTTCAAAATAAGGGCGAGGTCCTGTTGGGGTATGGGCGTGGTTGTTTTGGTGCTTTCAAATATCAACATTGTTTGGCAAAAAATCGCTTAGTGCACCTTTAATGATTACATGAAGGCACACCATGTCACACATACTTAGTAGCTAGTGTTGATGTAATGTTCAGTGAGAAACAAGAGTGCTTGCTCAAGGAAGGATCAGTGTGTGATCTGAATCAATATCATGTGTCCACAGAGGTGAGGTCGGAGATCTTTTCCTCAGAATCCAAAACTCAACGTTCAGACCGAGCAATGGATCTGGGTTTGGCCGAAGACCATTTCTCTCAACCTGTGGTAAGCACTCAATCTGCAGTTGTTCTGCTATGATAATGAGCAATAATGAGTACTCGGAATGTCTTGTGATCTGAGATTGCCTCACATGGCTTATTCAGCCCACAACCTTCTGGTTAGATGCTCGCCACTTATCACACATGTGTATTTCAGAAGGGTATTTCTCAAAGATCAAAATAAATATCAAACATTTGTTTAGTAATTTCTGTGCAGCTCAATCCAAAGACCATCTGAGCCGATTTTGGACAAAATATGACAACAATTTACCTTTGCACCAGTTCAGCAGGAGTTAGTAGATTATTGTACTTGTGTTAAGCTGCCTCTGTGGGCAAATTTTCCTGTGTTGCATGGCCTGCAGGAGAGAATCCATGTGGTGCTGATTGGTTGACAGTCTGTGGATGGTAGCCTCTTGCAAAACCACTCTAGTGGTGAATGGATTGCAGAAGCTACCCAGATTTTCCTGGAGACTTGTGTGCTGGTTGCTGGGTTACACAGTGATGCACGGCAAAGTTTTTCATAGAGCCTGAGTTTGCTCGAAGCAAAGACTTTGAACAGTCTTCACAGTGCTGATGCTATGAGAACTTCAAATCAAGTCAAATCATGGCATGCACCGAAAGCCAAGATCTGGTCCATGCCTCAGCACACTGCCAATGAATTGGTGTGATTCTGCTTGGGCTTCAGATAACTGGTACCACTCACTAAGCTTCTTGCTCTTTGGTGAAACCAAGAAGGAGCTTTGGAGGGGGCCCTGTTCACTCATGCTCCTACAATACAAAGTGATCCTGTGTCTTCATAAGACTTAACCTGTTAACCTGCATTTTGGGACTTACAGCTGAAAATGACCTACCTAACTTAAAATGGTAACAGTTCCTGACAACAGTGTGCTACACACACAATTTTGTGTCTTTGGAAAGAAGACCCTTTGGGCTTTACTATCCATCATCCAGAGTTGATAACGCTCAAAAAGATAAAAAGTTATAGACACTGAAGTGCCTTGAAAAAAATTGTACCACACTCATTTTTTTTATTTCATGTAAAAATACATGAAATCAGTCCTGGAGCAACCCAGAAAAGTAATGGGTTGAAAGTCACATGTCTCATGAGTTTATATTTCAAATCTGAAGAGATTTCAAGTCATACAGATGGTAATCATACAGATGGCCAGCCATATAATCAATAATCACACTCTAATGGCCGTTCATATAGACCGCATTCACACTGATAGCTGTCATACAGACAGTAATCACACGCTGATGTGCGGTCATACAGATGGTAATCATGCAGATACAGCCACATTCCCCACAAAACAGACACACATATATGAAAAATGTTGAAGAAGGAAAAAAAGACAATTATTTGTGCAAAAAGCCGATCGCTAAGTTACGCTCCCAAAAGATGACAGGTACGTCACAGCTTGCGTCATGAGCCGTCACGAGAGAGCGCCAGAATTCAAATAAACAATATTCCACGTATCTTTGACTATCTATTTTTTTAATGGATGTTCTCATTCTGTTTGTGACACTGTATGCTACAAAACCATGTTGCTTTTTACTACCAAGATACAGTAAGTTATTCCATAACGGATACAACAATAACTGTCTCCAAAGAAATCGGACGTAAACAAAGGAATTACCATCCATATTACAACGTTATTGCTTCGTTGGACTAAAAGTGCTCTATGGGATGTTGTACAGTGGACCCTTACCTTTCTAACTAAACTGGGATTTAAAGCTGTGGATGCGTTTATGACTCGTGCGATGCTTGAGGCTTAGACCTTTAGAATGATATATAGTTTGTCAAGATTAATTATGTCCCTTTTCATTTAATCTATTCGTAAACATTGACACGTGCGAACAAAGAGCGTTCAGTGCGCCAGCGTCCAGGTGCGGGTTAACAGGTTAAAATATAACAGTGCATGACTCAACGATTAGGACTGCTTGATGACCCAGGGCCAGCATGAAGGACTTTTGGGCCAGTTGGTAGAATTATATGGGTCCCGCAGCTACTCTGCATTTCTTCCCCCCAGAGTGAGGGCACAAAGCTTCACCTGTCTTCCTCTGAGGAGGTTGATGTGGCTGGCCATGACCAGGATGAGACTGGGGACTCTTCACCCTAGTCCATCCAGTATGAGGAGCTGTTGGAGGTGGTGACAAGGGCTGTAGCAAAATTAAAGTAATTTTCCAAACCTGTACGTAAAGTAATTAATTTATCTCAATGAGAAGCAGGAAGAATGTCCAAGAATTAAACTGGATGAGCACTTGCTGCGCTCGAAATCACCTCCTCCACACCGGAGCCTTCTTTTCTTCCCTGATCTCCATGCCGAGGTTGCGAGATCATGGGAAAGGCCATATTCAGCTTGCTTATTCAGCCCCAATGTCACTAATTATTCTAGCATTCTGTGGCTGAAGCAGCATGGTTATGGGGTGATGCCTAGGGTTGAACAGACACTTTCCTGAGTCAGCATCGTCCCTCCGGTGCTACCCACCAAGCCGCTCAGAACAACTTTGGCTTTGGTAGGTAAAGCTTTCACGGCAGCGGGTCAGGTTGGCGCATGCCTGTACACCATAGCAGTGTTGCAGGCATACCAGGCCAACCTGCTTACCTGAAGAAGACCTGGACGTAGGTAAACCAGTCAGCTCCGATTACATCAGGGAGCTGGGGAGGGCCGCAGATTTGTCAATTCAAAAGGGTCACATTTACTGTGGTACACCCTGAGCAGTCTCTGGTGATGGAATAAGAAGTTTTTACCCTCTTGAGAAAGGAGGGTATAGAGCACGACCCTCCACTCGAGAGGAAGTCCAGCTTTTACAGCTGATACTTCATTGTTCCCAAGAAGGATGCGTCCCATCGTAGATCTGCGCCAACGCAACTGCTCAGTCAAGACGTTCAGATTCAAGATGCTGACGTTGAAACTCAAATGCAAATCAGGTCTGAGGACTGGTTCATCATCATAGATTTGAACTGTTGGGTCTGATGGCAGCAGCGTCAAAGATGATAACTTTTGGCCTGCTGTACATGAGACCCCTGCAGTGGTGGCTCAAGACCAAGGGGTTTTCTTTGAGGGGCAACACATTTCACATGATCAATGTCACGCGGTGCTGCCTTTGTGTCTTAGCCATGTGAAAGAAACCTTCATTCCTGTCTCAGGGACCTGTGTTGGGTGCTTCGTGTCGTTGTGTAACATGCACGATAGACGCATCCCTCATGGGTTGAGGAGCTATCATGAGTGGTAGCTCAGCCCAAGGTCTGTGGGAAGGCCATCATCTCTCCTGGCACGTAAATTGCCTGGAGATGCAGGCAGTGTTTCGGGCTCTGAGCAGACATCCTGTCAAGGCAGGGGCTGAGGCTCGTGGAATGGAGGCTCCACCCTGAGGTTGTGGGACAGATTTGGAGTATTTTTGGCCGGGCTCAAGTCAACCTGTTTGTGTCTCTGGAGATCACTCACTGTCCTCTGTGGTTCTTCCTTACGCATCCAGCTACTTTGGGACTGAATGCCATGGTACAGATGTGGCCGAGGCTGCATCTATCTCTATGCCTTTCCCACAATTGCTCTACTCCCAGGAGTTCTGGAGAGAATCCGCCGGGATGGGGTTCAGCCTTGTACTAGTAGCCCTGTTCTAGCCGCCCCGAGTTTGGTTCTTGGACCTCGTGTCCCTTCTCGACGGGTCTCCATGGGAAATTCCGATCAGGAGAGACCTTCTGACTCAGGTGGGTGGCACAATTGTTCATCCTCAACTGGAGTTATGGAAACTGTGGGTGTGGCCACTGAGGGGTCACAAAGAGGTTTAACAAAAGTTTTTCCGATGCAGCATCTCATTTCCTTCTGGGAACCATGGTTACATTTGTAACCTTTGCTCTGGTGTAGCAATTGGAATCAATATGTCCAATAAAAAAATGTCCAATATCACTGGTATGTAAGATTTTTGTTGTCATAACTTTATTTATTAGAAAAGGTATCGTGTCAAAAACAGCCAATCTGAGCGAGATTGATAATAGAAAAAAAAAAAATGTAGCCCTGCATTTATATTATTCTTTATGTCCTTTTTGTCTAGACAAAACAGGTGAAACATTCATCAAATTATCTTTTATGTGTTCCACAGAAGAAAGTCATACAGGTTTGGAACAGCTTTAGGTGACAGAATTTAGATTTTTAGGTGAACTATCCCTTCATGCATTGAAACCTCTCATGAAAGTAAGTGATTCAGCATGAGTTGCTTATCCTGTTATTTGAAGCACTGAAGTGTGTGGATGTTTGCACAGGGTTCGTTTGTGGCATCTGATGTAGACCAGCTAAAACAGGCCATAGCAGAGTGCAAGAGACTGATCCTGGAACTGCCAGAACATTCAGAGAAACAGAAGGACACAGTCATCAAACTGATCCACCTTCGGCTCAAACTACAGGAATTAAAGGTTTGCACTACCAGTCAAAATTTGCAGACAATTATTGGTTTTAATAATTAACAATGAACAAAGTGAAAATAGTACGGTGGCTGAGAAAACACACACACACACACACACACACACACACATGCAAATAGTAAAAACACCAGCAAATTAAGAAAACATCTTCATTCATTTGACAACACATGTGCTGCAAATACTCACAACATGACCAAATACAGAAACGTGCTGCAAATTCTCGCAACACAAACAAATACAGCAATGCGCTGCAAATACTCACAACACAACCAAATACAGAAATGTGCTGCAAATACTCGCAACACAACTAAATAACAGAAACGCATCCGTTTGACAACACATGTGCTGCAAATACTCACAACATGACCAAATACAGAAACGTGCTGCAAATTCTCGCAACACAAACAAATACAGAAATGCGCTGCAAATACTCACAACACAGCCAAATACAGAAATGTGCTGCAATTACTCACAACACAAACAAACATGGAAACGCGCTGCAAATACTCACAACACAACCAAATAACAGGAACGCTCTGCAAATACACACAGACCACATGAGAAATGTTTAAGGGAAGCGCAACAAGTGACAAACCTTTCTGGGACATGCTTATCAATGTCTACTCTGAAAGGCAAGATTTTTGTTTAACACCCTGATCATATGATTCCTTAGCTTTTCTGGATATTATTAGCCTAAATAAGCTGACGAAATGCACAATTAATGTAACTGAGAAACGTTTCGTAAGCTGGCTAACTTTCTTTTACAACTTCCCTTACGAAAATTAACCATGGTTTTACTATTAAAATAATAATAATAAAATAGACATGGCTACTACTATAGTTAAAAAATGGTAACCACAAATTAACCATGGTTTTGCTACACTAACCATATTTTAACCATGGTATTTGTATAACTGTGGTTATACAAATGGTAATCAATACAGCAAAAAAGGTTACTACAATTTTACTAAAATAAAACCATGGTTAATTTTCGTAAGGGTTGTTGAGGTCCACTTTAAACATTTCCCTTACAAAAATTATACATTTAATAAAACTGTGTTTTATTATAGTAAAAGTGTAGTAACCACTTTTTTTGGCGTATTGACTACCATTTTATAACCACAGTTTTACTAAAAATATCATGGTTAAACTATGGTTAGTGTAGCAAAACCATGATTAATTTGTGGTTACCACGGTCTAACTATAAATAACCATGTTTTTTGGTTTTATTTGTAGTAAATCCATGGTTCATTTTCGTAAGGCTTCTGTTGTGGTCTGTGCTTCTTGCAATGTGTTTCTGTATTTGGTAGCGTTGTGCATATTTGCAGCACGTTTCTGTATTTGATTGTGTTGTTGTGAGTATTTGCAGCACGTTTCTGTATTTGGTTGTGTTGTGAGTATTTGCGGTACATGTGTTGTCAAACTGATGATGATGTTTTCCTAATTTGCTGGTGCTTTTTCATTTGTATGTTTTCTCTTAAGTTGCAGAGCAACTGTACGCGCATGATGGCGGCGTGCACGGACGCAGCGGCTTTTGGCTCCCTCACACGGTGTTTGTTTTTGTTTCTGTTGTTTGGTATAAGCATGATATCCTGCAAAACTCTGTGTTACAGTCGGCAGGATTTATTGGACATTGGATTTAAGCATAAGATAGCCATCACTGCCAGCTTTCACCACACTAATAACATACCAGAGGAACTGGCCAGACCACCGGGATCTCCGTGGTCTCCGCGACAATGTGAGAGGAAGCAGAAGCAGGGAAGTCGGGCGGCCCTACAAACAAAGCTCAGGAAACATCCATTCAAGCTACCACTGCTGAGCCTATTTCTTGCCAACGTTAGATCGATTGTGCATAAAATGGATGAGTTGGAACTTTACATCTGTGAAAACCGTTATGTACGCCATTGTTGTGTAATAATCATAACTGAAACCTGGCTGCACCAGTTGATCCCGGACGCCGCCGTACAGCTAGCAGGTCAAATGATGCATCACTGTGACAGAAACAAGAGCTCCGGTAAGAGCAGGGCGGCGGACTTTGTTTATATATTCATAATGAATGGACTAATAACAGTGAAATCATAGATACTCATTGCTCACCTGACTTGAAATATATGTCAGTGAAATGCCGAACATTTTTTCTACCAAGAGAGCTAACTGTAGTGATTATAACGGCTGTTTATATACCACACGATGCCAATACAAACAATGCTCTTGCCCTTCTGTTAAATGTCATGGACAAACAACAGAGCATGCACCCTGATGGTGTTCACATCATAGCTGGGGATTTCAACAAAGTAAACCTTAAGTCTGTACTTCCCAAATTACATCAGCATGTTAAGTGCCCAACCAGGGGTGAAAATACACTTGACCAGGTGTACACCAATATTAAACATGCGTACAGAGCTGTTCCTCTTTCTCATCTAGGCCAGTCAGACCACCTTTCTCTGCTTCTTATTCCAGCTTATACTCCTCTTAAGAGAAGGATCAAACCACACAAGGTGATCATTAGAACTTGGCCTTAGAACAGGACTGTTTTGCTAACACCGACTGGGGCTTATTTCAACAACAGGACTTGGCTGCATATACAGAGGCAGTTCTATCCTACATTAAGTTCTGTATTGCGAATGTCACTGTGGATAAAAGCATACGAATCTTTCCAAACCATAAGCCCTGGATGAGCAGTCAGGTCCGCACACTTCTCAGAGACCGAGATGCTGCCTTTAGATCAGGTGACAAAGCTCTATACAGTGCTGCGAGAGCGAAGCTGCGGAGAGGGATCAAAGAGGCTAAGGAGGTCTACAAGAAGGAGATAGAAGATCATCTCTCAGGAAATGACTCAAGGCGGATGTGGCAGGGTATACAGAACATCACAAATTTCAGGGGCTGTGCTACTACTGCAGGGACTAATCACTCTGCCCAACTGGCAGAGGAGCTGAACTGCTTCTTTGCACGTTTCGAGGCAACCCAGCAAAATACAGTCTCATCACTTTGGCCTATACCAGCAGGTAACACCCACATACTCACTTTACAGGAGCATGAGGTGAGAAGGGTGCTTAGATCAGTGAACCTGAAAAAAGCAACCGGCCCTGACGGGGTACCTAGGAAGGTACTCAGAGCATGTGCTGACCAACTGGCACAGGTTTGCACCAATATCTTCAATCAGTCCCTGACACAAGCCATCATACCACGCTGCCTGAAGTCAGCTACCATCATACCAATCCACAAAACATCCTTGCCAAGCAGTCTTAATGACTACCGCCCAGTGGCACTTACACCGGTAATAATGAAGTGCTTCGAGAGGCTGGTTTTGCATCATATTAAAGCCAGTCTTCCTTCCACCTCTGACGAGCATCAATTTGCCTATAGAGCGAATATATCTACTGAAGATGCTATAGCTCTAGCTCTACATACTGGACTGAGTCATCTGGAAAAACAGGGAAACTATTTCAGGGAGCCGTTCATTGATTATAGTTCAGCATTTAATACCATTATCCCGGACATCCTAGTAAGTAAACTGGCCAACATAGGACTTCCCACTCTCACCTGCTACTGGATTAAGGACTTCCTGACAAAACGTTCTCAGGGTGTGAAGATGGGTCCTTATGTCTCCTCCACCAGCTCACTCAGCACCGGCTCTCCACAGGGTTATGTGTTAAGCCCTCTACTGTACTCTCTACACCTATGATTGCAGCCCAGTTTATCGCAGTAATACCATCATCAAATTTGCGGATGATACAATGGTGATTGGACTTATCACTGGGGGGATGAGACTGACTACAGAGATGAGGTCCAGCAATTAACATCATGGAGTTCAGTTAACAACCTGACTTTAAACACCTGTAAGACGAAGGAGCTCATTGTAGACTTCGGGAAACATACGACGGATCCGCTCCCCCTATATATCAACAGAGATTGTGTTGAGAAGGTCCAAAACTTCACATTTCTGGGCACCCTCATCTCTGCTAACCTATCCTGGACGGCACATATTACAGCGGTTATCAAGAAGGCACGGCAGTGTCTACATTTCTTAAGGATCCTTAGGAAAAACAATCTGAATGGAAAGTTGCTGGTAAACTTTTATCGCTGTTCTATTGAGAGTGTGCTGATGTATTGCATTACAGTATGGTATGCTAGCTGCTCTGAGGCAGACAAGAGAGGGCTTCAAAGGATCATTAAAACTGCAGAGAGGATCACTGGCAGACCCCTTCCATCACTGAAGTAGGTATATAATTCTCGAGCCCTCAATAAGGCCAAAAATATACTAAAGGACTCAACACACCCTGGGTTTCACTTGTTTCAGCTGTTGCCATCGGGCAGGCGTTACCGGTGCATTAAAACAAGGACTAGAAGATTTAAGGACAGTTTCTTTCGTAGGGCCATAAACATTATGAACTTCAATATGCGTTGACCTCATATATATTTTTCAATTTAAATGTCAGTCTTATGCCGAGTTCACACTGCACGATTTTCAAACTCGTCGGATCGCCGTTGTTTTCACACTGCGTGACTATCTGGGGTAGCATTCAGTTGCTGCTGTGTTCACACTGCATGATGGATCGGCGACAGGGGGTTTCACATTGCATGACTTCACAATAGGAATAATCGCCGACAGCTCTGTGTGGTGCAGGGTTGCCAGGTTTTCGCTACAAAACCCGCCCAATTACTACTCAAAACTAGCCTGAAAATAGCCCAATTGCTTTCAAGGGGGTCCCCCAGTAAAAATCGCGTTCGGGGGGTAAAATACACATTCTTTTGGCGGGGTTCTCCTGGTACAATTCACATTCCAGGGCCTAAATATCACGTTATTGGGGTCGCTTCAACCTGCTGACATAAAAAACAACCGACGGCAATCGTGGATTTGGCAACACTGGTCCGCAAACTACGTTTCATATAACTCCTCACCGAGCTTCCTGCTGCCCTGTATCTTGGTCTCTCATTGGCTGTAGGTCATCGCCGATGTGTTTTTCAGTCAGAACTCATTTCATTCGTGATTGTGAATCGCCGACAGCTCCAGATATTTAGCATGCCAAATATTTCACGGGCGTCGGCGACGTGTCGGCGATTCCCTCAGATCGCGTCTTTGATAATTCACACTGTGTGATTGTCACTCGCGTGAACGAGCACCGATTTGCCTCATAATGTCGGGCATTTGTCGGCGATTTCGCAAAACCTGTCGGCGAGTGAAAAATCTGACTAAAATCGTGCAGTGTGAACTCGGCATTAGTGTAATAGAATTTTTTTTCCCCACTTCGAATACAAGACTTAGTGCAATACACTATTATTGTGCAATATAACTTTGTTTTTGTAGTCAATTCAACTTATTAATGTTTTGCTGTATGTGTATTATGTGATATATGTTAAAGGGAAGCTACTCTAATTTCATTGTACATGGTATAATGACAATAAAAGCATTCAATTGAGCTCTCTCTGGGTCACCGTAAAATAGGCTTTAAACAAAAATACAATATTTTTTCATTTCAGTCAAAGCTAAAGTTGAGCTAAATCTTTCATTGTCTTTCCCCATTAAATGCATATGTTAATTAAAATGTGATGTACACATTTACTTTTTTTTTTAAAGTCGCGGCCTAATGGTTAGTGAGTCGGACTCGTAACCCAAAGGTTGTGAGTTCGAGTCTCAGGTCCGGCAGGAATTGTAGGTGGGGGAGTGAATGTACAGCGCTCTCTTCCACCTTCAATACCATGACTTGAGGTTCCCTTGAGCAAGGCATCGAACCCCCAACTGCTCCCCGGGCGCCGCAGCATAAATGGCTGCCCACTGCTCCGGGTGTGTGTTCATGGTGTGTGTGTGTTCACTGCTGTGTGTGTGCACTTAGGATGGGATAAATGCAGAGCATTAATTCCTAGTATGGGTAACCATACTTGGCCACATGTCACGTCACTTTCACTTTCACTCAAATGTTACTCTGAAACACTCTGCTGTTGTATAGAATATATATCAGGTTAACTGTTCTGTTTCTGTATCCATTAAGGGTTCCTGATTTAGATCAAAACATTTTTTTAGTTGATGAGAAACATAAATTCAGTTTTGGCTAGTGGTAAATTGTATAAATAAATTGTGGAATTTTGTTTTACTGTTGTGTTGGATATAAACAGGACCCAGAGGAAGATGAGCCGAACCTGCAGGTTCTATTAGAGCATCGATTCTCAAAGGAGAAAAGCAAGAGTGTCAAACAGATGTGTGACAAGTGTAGCACTATCATATGGGGCCTCATTCAGACCTGGTACACCTGCACAGGTCAGACCATCTCAACTGAACCCAATGCAACATTATATTAAAAACACATTTGATTCAGTCATTAAGTACTTTCGTTCCAAACCATTACCCAAAGAAAAATGATTATGCAGCTCATTTCAATAAAACACTACTTTCATAAAACTTAAAGTTCCCAGTGGCTGTGAAGCTCCTAAAAGAACAAAAATACTAATAAAGCATGATAAAACTATAAATTCCATAAATATCCAATGTAGTCCATATGACAAGTTCACTATATTCCAAGCTTTCCAATATTATTTGTATTAATAAAATAATAATATAAATGATTAAAGTCGGCATGAAATCAAATTCTTATAATTTAATGGTGTTTATTATAAATAATTTATCCGTGCACTTAGATTTCAAAAACGTTAACCTCCCCTCCCCAGTCCTCAAAACGACTCATCTTCTCTTCCGGTCACAAGCTATGGCACAAGGGCGGAGCTAGTGACATCAAGTCAAGTCAAGTCACCTTTATTTATATAGCGCGTTTAACAATACAGATTGTGTCAAAGCAACTGTACAGCATTAATTAGGAAAATATTGTGTCAATAATGCAAAATGACAATAGTAAACACTCGATTGGCGGCCTAGAGTGAGCAGAGGCCGGGGGCTAGAGTGAGGAACGGCCGGAGGTCTAGAGTGAGCAGAGGTGGCGGGCTTGAGAACGGCACGGCCGGCGGATTCGACGAAGGAGCATCCGGAGGGC